TGTACCCACTATGCCATTAGACCTCCTATATATACATCTAGAGGAGATTTAAATCTGGATGAGATTTATATATAGGTGAGTAGTAACCAACCAATAGGAATGTTTGTGGTTTGTTTATCTATCACCTTCCATCTCATTTTTTGTCCTGACAGCTTGGCTTTAATTCAGAGAGTGTAACAAGGTTTTTTTTTTAAGCAAACATTTACAAAATAGATATAATTTTTATATCAGGATGTAGTAAAAATTAGAAAAAAATACATACATGTATACTTTTCCTTTTCAAAGAGCTAAGTTTTGATTTTACATCATGTGTGTGCTTATACATTTTTATGAAGATTTAAAGAAATGATTCATTTTGGCAGGTTCTTGTATGTGTATATAAATCTTAGAATCTACACAGAATGTGTTTTTAAAAAGGTGTGTGTGTGTGTATTTTTAAGGGAAAAGGGGTTTTCCACTTTGCTCAGCCTGAGCTAGTTCAGATATGCAAGTGGCTCTGGTGAATGCTAGTTCACTCTACGTAGAGTAGCTAGGTGACACAGTGAGTCGTTAGGCTGCTAGCCAAAATGTCAGCAATCAAGCCAACGGGCCAGTTATGAAAGGGCTGCCAGTGGGCTTCAATTGAGTTTTGCGTCTCAGAAACCTGAGGTCACTATGGGAAAGAATTGACTCAATGACCATTTTTTTAATATATGTCATCAAAATGTAGACATTTTTTAAATGCAAGAGAGCAAAATTTAGATAAAATAAGTAAGAAAAACTTTAAAACATTTAAACTTTCTTTCAGAAGTAATTTAAACTTAAATTTGCTGGTATTAAATTGAATTACTAGATGCTTGTTATAATTAGAAGTTTACCCCCCAAAAAGTTCACAAGCTTTTTAAAAAGAAATTATCTAAAAAACAGAAAGAAAGAAAAGATCTATCTATACTCAGGTCTGCTATATAGTGTGCTCATTTTTTCTTTATAGGAAACAGACAATGCCCGTCTGCCTATTTCTGTGTCTCTAAGCAGTTCTTCATGTACTTCTTTCTTACTTTCAACTTGTTTCTAAGCTAGATTGCTTTATAGAAAGACAAAATAAATTTCCCCTGGAATGCAGAAAAAGAAACAGACAAAAGCAATGTTTCAAGGGTTCATTAATGATATATTTATTTGCTATGATCAAAACTTTACTCCTCTGACTAAAAGTTTACATTATCATTAAATAGCACTTGGCAACAATTGGGTATTTTGCCATTGAAAGAAGAAAAAAATTTTTTTCTAATTACTAGTTTGGAAATCTAACTCATTCTTTGAATAGTTCACTTCCAGATGAAGGGTAGATTAGATTTACCAAACCACATGATCTTGAAAAAAGGATGGTACTCAGGCATCATTTCTTGGATCATTATAAACGCCAGACAAGTTGACACTTTATGGGAAGTCATATAAGGGGGTACGCCCACACACACAAAAAACTGGAAAAGAAAGCTCTGCTAGGCAGAGGTGTTGTAATACACATTTTCCCCACTAGGCAAGCATTGAGCAACTTGCTCTGAGTTAGTGCATCCAGTGGCATCAGCTGGGAAGGTTCTCTCTGGTCACAGTGAATTTTTTCATAAAAGCAATTTCGCTCTAACCTCGTTTTTTGTGATGGCCAATTTAAGAGAACAGTGTGTTGCTGGGACATTTTGTTTCCTGCTCAGGAAAAATGCCGCAGAAACTATTGCAAGATTGAACACAGCTTACAAGGACAGTGCTATGGGAAAAACTCAAGTGTATGAGTGGTTTTCTTGCTTCAAAAAAGGTGAAATGTCAATGGCTGACAAATCTCGTTGTGGACATCTTTCAACTTCTCAAATGGATGACAATTTCGACTTGAAGTGCTTTGGTGTTCATCACTCCAGGTCAGACTATTAGCCAAGCTTTCTATTTAGAGGTTCTGAAAAGATTGCATGACAGTGTGCAGCAAAAAAAAGGCCTGATTTGTGGCAGACAGGGGACTGGTTTTGCCACCATGACAATTCACTTGCTCATGCAGCCATCTCAGTGAGCCAGTTTATGCAAAAATATAGCATGCCTCTCTTATCCCACATACCTTATTCACCTGACCTTGCTCTGTGAAACTTCTTTTTGCTTCTGCAAATGAAGAGCAACATGAAAGGACAGCAATTTGATGACACAAAAGAGGTGAAGAAAAAAACGAGGGAGGTGCTGTCAGCCATCCAAACAGATGAGTTTAAAAAATGTCCCCAAGAATGGAATTTCAGATGTGACAAATTAAGTGTAATGGTGAGTACTTTGAAGGTGATGAGGTTGTTATGTAAAAAAATTTAAAGACACAGCTTCGAAAAAAGTATATTCCAGGTTTTTTGGGGTACCCCCTTGTATAACCTAAACTTACTTCCTATTTTGTAGTTCTGAAGCTATACTTAAAGTTTTCAGGGGCTACATCATCCAAACTGGGGAACCGGGTCCTTCTTCCTTGTCTGTTCTTAGTCTGAAAGCTCTGCTGAAACCTGTTCACTTGCTGGCAATTGAAATACCAGCAATAACTTCCAGGGAACACACAAAGCCACCATAGTATGACAAACTGGCAAAAAAGAAGACCATCAACAAGATGGATTGACAGTCACTGCAACAATGGGCATGGTGTGGGAACAATTGTGAGGCTAGTGCAGGGCCATGCAGTGTATCGTTCTATTGTGCACAGCATCACTATGGGTGAGAACCAATTCGATGACACCTAACAGTATTTTTGAGTTAGCCTAATGCATGCCATCTTTGCTTTGTTTCTTAGCCTGGCGTTTGTGGAAAATAAACTTTTTTCCATGATGTTCTATGGCAGTGGTTCTCAACCTTCCTAATACAGTTCCTCATGTTGTGGTGACCCCCAACCATAAAATTATTTTCGTTGCTACTTCATAACTGTCATTTTGTTACTGTGATGAATCATAATGTAAGTATCTGATATGCAGGATTTATTTTCATTGTTCCAAGTTGAACATAATTAAAACATAGTGATTAATCACAAAAACAATATGTAATTCTGTATTGTGAAATATTTATTTCTAATTACAAATAAATGAAATTTTTTCTTGAAGCATGGTGTAGCCTGGATAACAGTCTTCACACTGGGTACTTCATATGTGGGGTATCTGCATATGGGTGGACCTGCCTGGAAACAGATAGAGTGGTGTCTCAGTTCCTAAGACCATCAGAAATCGTTTCCAATGGTCTTAGGTGACCCCTGTGAAAGGGTCGTTAGACCCCCAAAGGGGTAGAGAACCACTGTTCTATGGTATCTGGATAATTTGGCCTGGGGAGTCATCTAAGGTGACTCTACCCATAAGGCCATTAAGACATCAGGGAGATTTGTTTCTCATTACCTGTCAATTAATACTTATAGTGACCATATAGGACACAGAACTGCCTCAGTGGATTTTCAAGAATAAATCTTTATGGGAGCAGAAAGCCTCATCTTTCTCTTATGGGTTTGAACTGCTGACCTTGTGGTTAGCAGCTGAATGTATAACCACTGTGACCAGGGATCCTTTGAGACCATCTTACATGTTATTTTTCTATTTTCTTTGCTTTTTGTGATGTCTGAAATAGTTTAATAACCAGCTGAACCTAGCTTCTGTAATTTTTGCTTATGCTTGTCTCAAAAACCAGGTCTTACTTCTACAAAGAGTTTTTTCTTTGAATGAGTCTTGTCTTGTGTCTTAGCCCTCATTGTTTTCTTCTGCTATGTTCTTTCAGTTTTTTAATCAATATAGGTAAACCTTCCATGTATTTTAATCCAAGCTTTCATATATGTATGCATGTATGTCTGTGCCATCAAGTCGGTTCCAACTCATTGGTACCCTATGCACAACAGAACGAAACACTGCCCACTCGAGCCATCCTCACAATTGTCCTTATGCTTGAGCTCATTGTTGCAGCCACTGTCTATCCATCTCCTTAAAAGGCCTAACCAAGCATGATGTCCTTCTCCAGGGACTGGCCTCTCTGACAACATGCCCCTGGTATGTAAGAGGAAGTCTCACCATCCATGCCTCTAAGGAGCACTCTGGACTTACTTCTTCCATGACACATTTGTTTCTTCTTTTAGCAGGCCGTGGTATTTTCAACATTCTTCTCCAGCACAATTCAAATGCATCTATTCTTCTTCAGTCTTCTTTATTCAATGTCCAACTTTCACATGCGTATAAAGCAACTGACAATACACGGCCTGAATGCGGTGCACTTGAGTTCTGAAAGTGATACACCTCCCCTCCCCACCTTACCACCTTACTGGTTGGGGAGCGGTGGTAATCTACATCCTAATGCCCTCTGCCTGAGGGCAAGGCTGTTCAGCTAAATGGTCAGAAATAAATTCAATGGAGATCGAATCCATGTGCACTCAAAACTGGATTTAGGATTTTCACTGCAAACCACAGCCTTCTGCACACTCAGTGCTCAGAATTTTAAACTCTGATACACGCCAGTCCGGCCTTCCCCGGGCTGTAGTTGTATCCTCCATGTCGCCCCTCCACTCTCAGGGCTGCAACGGAAGCTTTTATCCCTCTCTCGGGACGCCAACGGTCGAGGTATTTTCGCCACCAATAAGCTTCTTCCCACCCATCTGCCCCTCGCCGACCTCTCGCTGAGGGCCTTCCGTCCCTCTAGGAAGCCTCCGCCTTCCCGTTCCCACGGAGACTCCGCATCAGCCCCACTTGCTCGGTTATCCCGTCGCCTTCCTAAGGCCAGATCTGGGACATACCAACAAGCTTCCGGCTGCTCCGAGTCCTTGGCCCGCCCACTTCCTGTGGCTCCACGGGCGCAGGCGCGCTGACCTGGACAGTGATTGGCTCCTGACGCGTGTCACTCCGGGCGCGGGCACCTCGCCATTGGTGAGCTTCCCCCGCCGCCTTGTCCCTCGCGGTCGTGGATTGGCGCCAACAGCCGGCGTGGGGAGCCACCTGGGGCCTTGCGTCACGGCGCGCTTCCCTCCCGCGGCGCGTCGACCCCGGGTGATGGCGGCTGCTCTGGCTGCAGAAGAAGGCATTGCCACTGCAGCCCCCGTTCCAGGTGCGGACGGCCATGGCGAGCCTCCCGAAGGAGAAGGGTTGGGGACCGTGGGCGAGGAGACGGACGCACTCGAGAAAGGAGCGGAGGTCTTTGGGGACAGCGAGGAAGATGAAGAGGACGTGTTCGAGGTGGAGAAGATCTTGGACATGAAGACCGAGGGGGTACGTGCGAGGCCTGGGAGACGGGCGGGGCGGTCCTGGCTGCCCTTCGTCCTCCCCCGGCTGGAGGTGACTCCGTCGGCTCCCCTCGGGCTGTAGCGAAGAGAAGGGGCTGGGCGGGTGGTGATGGAGAGGCCGAAGGTGGCGGTGGAGGTTTTCGTTGTCCCCCAAAGGCATTCATTGTCAGACTCCCCCGCGTGTAGCGGTCGGTGGAGCACTGCGGGGAGGGAAGATGGTGACCCCTGAGAATTCGCTTGCTGGAAAAAATAGCATGTGCGTCGTCGTAGTTAAGACAAAACAAAACAGAAAACCTCAGAAATCTGTTTAAAATGGGGCGGGGGGGGAGTATTTGTTACGGCGAAAGCGTTTTCCAAAACGAGGAAACAGGCCATTTTTGACAAAGTGCTCCGATATCGAGGTTAACAACAGGCAAGTAAGGACCCACAGCTGGGGTATTTCTGATCGGCTAACATTGACGAAGTTGCAGTCGGCAGGGTTTGAGTTGAACGTTCTTGCCAGAGTTATTTCCTTGCATAGAGGTGGATGACAACATACCTGACCATACGTTCCAGCAATATTTTTAAAATGCAATCATCCTGAAATTCCCAAATCAAACCCAATGCCATCCAGGAGAGTAGACGTAGAGACCCTATCCTGTCCCTCCTCCCAGGCACAGACAACTTTATTTTTCCTCCATGGAGCCCCTAGTGGATTCGATCTCATCTCGTTAGCAGCCTAGCGCTTTCACGCCTGCATCACCAGGACCCTTTCCTTTGTATAAACCCACTGCCATCAGTGCATTCCATCTAGCAGTGACAGCTGAGATTCTTAAATCATTATGAAGTAATCACCCTCATTTTTCTCCTGAGGAGCAGCTGGTGGTTTTGAACCACTGACCTTTTGGTTGGCAGCCCAACATTTACCCCAGGGCTCCTTCCTAAATACGGGGTCCTGAAAATAGTACGGGAGTCAGAAAGATAACACTGTAGGGAGGCCTAAGATTATAGCTAGTGGATTGTAAATTGGACTGCTAATCACAAGGTCAGCATTTCTAATCCACCAGCTGCTCCAAAAGTGAAAGATGAGACTGTCTGTCCCCATAATGATTTACCCTATATAGAGTGGCTGTATTTACCCTATATGAGTTGGAGTCATCTAGATGTCAGTGGGTTTTGGGGAGTGGAGAGCTGAGGGTAAAGGTATAGCTTAGCCACTAAAGCCACCTGTTTAACACTATGTCTGATGTCTCTACAAACAATAATCTCTTAGCATTGGTCAGTTCTAAGCAGAAATTTGAAAGAAGTAGAGCAAGGTGGGCCAAACTACATTTCCTGTAGAAATTACTTTCATCCAAGTCAAAGGTTCAGTGGAAAATGCTTACAGAAGTCAATGCCTATATTGTCCTGGTGAGTAAAAAATACTGTGCTTTCTGCAGAAAAAAAGGTTCCAAATAGAGTCAATTAGGACAAGGAGGACTTGGACCTAGACGTTAGCAAGAAATTTCATTCGCACCAAGAGCCTTAGTTTTGGAATGCTCGTACTCAGGACATAAGAAGGAGAAAGCATAATATAGTCACCAGTCAGCAGAAGCATACACAGTCATAAAAGTGGAATGACATTTCCAAATGGACCCTGGGCTGGTCTGTGAAGGTATGTGTCTGGCAGTTTTAAAGGATGTTTTGGCAGAAAAGGTGAATTTGTTTGGGATGAAGTATGCGAGGATCAGAAGGGTGCTGACAACTAGTGAAGGGTTTCCTTGGTTGTCAGTACTTAGCAACATGATTGAGGCCACTGCTGTGTGCTGGAAAGGGTGATTCCAAAATGTATCTTTCCACATCTCATCCACACCATCATTCCAGTTATTTCGAAAACCATAATTAATTTTCCAGTTTAAAATCTTAAGGAATTCCCTTTTACCTGCACAATAAGTTTCCTTTTTTTGGGGGGGATGGCACTTAAAGCCTTCAGAATCTGAGCAGTATCCCTCAACCTGTACATGAAATTATTCTAGCACACAGTATAGTCTCATCCTGCTCACTGGTTCCTGACAAGGCCCGTTCTCATCCATCTCTTAGTAAGATCGCCTTCAGTCTCTTAAGACTGTCAACCAAAATGACCACAATCTCTGAAGAGGGAGAAGCTTCGTCATCAGTGCCCTTTCACACTGGGTCTAGACCTGTTTTAGCATTTATGGCTCTATGGTTCTTTATATGCTTGTCCCTCCTACTGGACTGTGGCTTTAATACAGAGAATATTTTTTATTATGATTTCTATGATTAATCTTTCATCATTGGTATGTAGTTTAATGCCTAGTCTGCCCATCCGTGCCTGCCCACAGTCATTGTCGGGAGCTGATTGTGACAGGATGATTAAATGAGGGAATTGACTGTGGTCTGGAGGCTGGATGAGAAAGGGGAATGGAGGGACAATAGAAAAATAATCTCTTTGAGTAGCTGGATGTGAGGTGACTAAAGAGTTTCTCATGGTGGCCTTTATGTCCCACTCTTTTTGAAATTGTTACTTAGCATGTGTCATCTGTTCCCTTGTATTAGGTCCCTGTGAAGCACAAATGGTTTGTACTTGACTACTAATCTAGGAGCCTTGGTGGTGGTGTGGTACACATTGGGCTCCTGCTACAAGGTCAGCTGTTCAAAACCATCAGGTTCACCGAGAAAGATGGCTTTGATGGGCTTTAGGCTCCCATAAAATGTTACAGTCTTGGAAACTCAAGGGGGCAGTTCTACCCTGCCCTATAGATTGCTATGAGTCGACACTGATTCAGGAGTGTTGAGTTTAGACTTTCACTCTCCTAAAGGTATCCAGGGCCACCACAGAAGAAAGGCCTGTCAATCTGCTTGCATAAAGAACAGTCAAGAACGTACTCTGGGGAGCACTTCTCTCTGTAACACCAAGGAGCATCATGATTTAGAGTCAAATCCGTGATACTGGATTCGAAGGTGTTTTTTTGTTGTCAGTTTGTGTTGTCTTATTCATGTAAGAAACATGTTTTGATCAACTACTGTGTGCCAGGTTCTTTGTTAGGTCCAGAGGATGTGTTGAGAATTGAAGCTTACACAGTTGCTGATACTGAAAGGTTCTGTCAAGTTGTAGATAATTAAACTGCAGTGCCATTGTATCGTTATTGGGAGCGATACAATAAAGATAGTAATATTTTATGCAGCGTCTTCCCAAATATAAGAACCTTGAGGTTGAGGAGCTGATGCCGGGGGCTTAGGCAGAGAGCAAATGTTTTGAGAATGATGAGGGCAACGAATGTACAAATGTGTTTTACACAATTGATGTATGTATGGATTGTGATGAGTTGTATGAGCCCCCAATAAAATGATTAAAACAAAACAAAACCTTGAGGTGATAGGAGGATCCAATTTTCTACTGTTTTATGCATTTAACACAGTGCTTGGCACATAGATTATATTCAGAAAATAGGAGAGTGAAATCTCCCAGATTAAGATGACTTTCCCCTTCATAGAACATTTAATTTTGCCAGCCCTGCAGGATTCTAAGCACTATACCTACAGCCTCATGTTTTAGTCAGAAGTGGTTGAAACTCAGAAAGTTAACATCTGTAATGCATTAAAGGAAAGTTACACTTTAGGAATGTAAAGTAACAGTTACTTAGGGTCTGGGATTTTTCAGTGCACTTATAAATAAATGATCTGTAAGATGAAAAAGGCGGG